GGCATACATAATTTCCTTCCTGGCTTCCAATGAGGTCAATGCATTTCCTTTCCTGTCTCTGAAGGTGAGGAGGAGGAGGTGGGAGGAAAAGGTTCTCTAACAGAAGCAATGCAACTTCTTAGACTCGGGCTGAAGAAAGATGAAGATGCATGAGAGGTGGTGGTTGAGATAAGACCCAAGGTGACAAGACCAGGAATGTGAGGTCAACTGTTTCCTGTTGCCTATGGAGGATAAGGAGATTAAAAAGAGGCCAGGGTTCCTATACTTTTAATAATTGCTTGCAAAAGGAAATTTCAGCAGGCGCAGCTTTCAATGTAAGCTCCACCTGCTGAAATGACCTCTCACACACAACTCCTAAAAGGACAGGAACCCTGGCCTCCTTTTCATCCAGCCACTTTATTCAAGTATGTTAACGTGTTCATATATACTCATTTATTTATTTACGTTTGCCATATTGGAAACAACCTCTCAAAATGGTTTATGAACAGCAGTCAGAAGTAACAACCACCCTAAAGAAGGACGAAAACAGGCATTAAAGTGCAGAAAATGATACAGTTGCCAATTAAATCATGGGAAAATAACAACTTAAACAACAGTTGTCAAACTTGCCAGCACAGTCAAGAAAGATCTGGGTAGAGAAGTGGATAAAATGCCTGGAACACACTACTCTTGGGGATTCCTAAGGTCATGGAGAAGAGAGGATTTTAATTGCCAGGTGACACCAAGGACAAAGCTCACTTCATCTCCTACCTTTGTCTCCTGCCTTGGGCAGGGTGTTGGACTAGAGGACCTCCAAGGTCCCTTCTGAACCTATGACAATTCCATGATCTGCAGGCCACAGGACAACCAGAAAGGTCCTTTCTGATGACCTTCATATTCATAAGTAACCACATCACCTGCCCTCTATTTCTATATTATTTTTGCTCTCCTTGAATGTGTTGCTGTAGAAATCCATCAGCTGATAAGTAGATCTGAGTTATCTCCATTCCAGTGATCACCATGTCTCTGGGACAAGGAACAACTAAAGGCCCACTAGCCCTCAGTTGTGGGCTGCCTCTCCCAGTGGAGGGTGGACTCGCTCCTTTGGGGAAACAAAAGTGTGTGGCATACACTCCCTTCTTGTGGTAGTTGCAGGGGGATGGGGATCAGAGACCTTGGATGGGAAGACAAGTGCTGGCAAAAAAGCATAAACAAAAAAACCCCCATCATTGTTGTCTTCATTAACATTGCTGCAGGAAAGTGGATTGAGGACTCTGGAAGGTGCCTCCTGAACTCCTAGGTGAAAGGTACAGGTTACAGAAGGTAAAGCCATGGAGGCTGGTGGAGGCTGGCTGAATGTCGTTATCAGATAACACTTCCCTCAACTTTTAAGATTGCTTGAGTTTTTATGGTTGTTGGTTCCACAGGACACCTCAGATTTAGGAGGTGTCCTGTGGAACCTAAAGTCAACACAGCCGTTTACGGGGAATGGATTTATATTGTTTTTTTACACTTTGTACATCATTTTGGTGTATTTACTTGGACAATGAAAGTTCAAGGTGTATTAAAACTCACTTCGGACCTTGCTGTTGGAATATGTGCTTGGCTGAATTGGTGGTGGTGGACCTGGGATGCTTCTATCGTCATTATGTTGGCCAGAAGGCAATAAGGCACTGGAAGTCTTCCCCATGTTTTGTTCTTCCTCCTACCCCTCATGATCTAGATTGTTCTGCCAGCCTGCACCCTCGTCTGATGGGCACTGCAGTTGAGTGCCAGTTTGGTTGATACTAAAGCAGGTGCATGAGGAGGCCAGCCTGGAATATATTACCAAAAACTGGGCAGGTGAGATGCATAGGGTTGCCTTGGTCTGGTTTGTCAGAATATAGAAATTTTGTAGGCCTGAACCTGAATAAATGTATTATTAACGAGCTGCCATTGTGCACAGATGTGAGTATGCTGAGTCACTCTGAAGATGATGCAATGTCTGGAAATAAGAAGACACCAGGTGCAGAAGATGAAGTCATGTGTTTTCTGATTGGACTAGAGATGCCATGTACATGTATATAAGTGAACAGTGTCTGTGTATCATCCTCTTCTTTCTTCACCATTTGCTGCTATACACTATGTCCGTTTGTGTAAAGAGTTCCTGCCATGCTGATGTCATGCCTGCCTGTAAATACTTGTAAATACTTGTAAATACAACTGTCTTGCAAAAGAAGAACTTGTAAGTGTCTTCAATAACTCTGCGTTTTTCCTGTTGCCAAATCCGTGACATGGTTTCATCCACTTGGGTATTCAGTGAAGGGAATTCAGTCTAGATTGTAGGATCAGGAAAGGGGAGCTGTAATCATCTGTAGGGATTTCATCTTCCTCACAGGGGAAATCATATACGCTGCCACTAATTTTGAGGGTTTCTAATTAGTTATCAAAGATATGGAATAGATGTGTGGTTGGTGTGCTGCCCAACAGTCTTCCTACCCAAGATGTTTTTGAAGATGGTGCTCGAGAACTCAAAGGTGGTGGTTTCGCAAGACATCAGCCATCACAAGGAAGCCACTGCTGCCCAGGCCTCCTTAGGAGGCCAGGGCCACCATAAATAGCACAGATGGCCTCAAAGCACGGTTAGCCCAATACATGTGTCAAATCTACACATAGCATATCCAACTGGACAGAGAAAATGCATGGTCCAGCATCACCATGTCAGTGAAAGGGGATCTTTGTCATCCCTAAGTATTTGTTTCCTTCGGAAATCAGAATTGACAGTAATGGAACTTTCTCTGAGGTAGGGGGTGGGGGAGAGAACCAGTTGAGACAGTCTAGCCTCTGAGACTTATGAAACCATCTGGGAGACTTTCTGGCTCAACAGGACTGGCAATTTGGTCAAAGCCTCTGTCTTACTATAGAATGGTAAGATGGAAATGGCTATTTAGCCATTTTTTTAAATATATTTTTTTAAAAAAAACTTAACCCACCTTTCTCCTTAAGACCGACCCAAGGTGGCCTACATAATTGAAAGACAATGTTAAAAGCTTAAAAACAGGAAGAAAACAAGGATCAAACAAATACCACCCTAAAAGACGTTAAAAACAGGAAGAAAACAAGGATGAAACAAATACCACCCTAAAAGACAGTAAATAAAAACACAAAAAAATGCATTCAAAGTAGAGATGGGAACAAACTGCCGAAATGGAGGTTTGCCTTGGTTTGTGGGTCATCAACCTTGACAAACCACAAACTACAAATTTCCCCCTGGTTAACCAACGAACCACGAATCAATACATCGGTTTGTCAGGTTTTTTTTTTTTTAAGATAGCCCTTGGGGCTATCTAAAAAAAGAAAAGCTGAGCCCCTCCCTGCCCCATTTCCTTCCCACTGTCGCTTGCCTTGTCCTGCTGCCTCCTCCTGCCCTGCCTCTGCCAAAACAGAAGCTAGGCTGTCAGAACGGGGGTTTCTGTTCCGGCAGCCTAGCTTCTGTTCCATTAGAAACAGCAAGCCTGACTTGTCCCCAAAGTTTTTTAGCGCTGTCATTAAGTCTTCTCCTTGGGTCAAGCTTCCCCTGTCTTTCCATGCCTCACAGGCATAGAAAGGCAGAGGAAGTCTGACCAAAGCAGTTTCCCCGCCCCGGATGTCTGCCGAACAGTTTTTGCATTTCCGCCGCCGCCCCCCCTCCCACTCCATTGTTCTGACACTTTCCCGGTAGCATCAACATTTTTATATAAATGTCTAAGCAAATAAGATTGGCATTGAAATAAATTGTTCTCTGTAGTCCATCAACCAACGTATCCTCAAGGAGACACTAAGGACCATTTGGCTTCATTTCACAAAGGTACTTTGATCCCATCAGGAAATACTGTAATTTCTTCTGTCCTATAACTTGAAACCACGTTACCATAGTCTTTCGAGACTGAAGGATGCCTAACTAATTCTCTCAGAGGAGCATCAGCCTGTTTTGCATTTCTTGGTCTGTATCATTAAAAATGATGTAATTAGTTAGGCAAAGCACGATCCAGATGTGAAACAGAAAATTCAGCAAACTGGATCCAAAGAGTTTTTTTTAATGCAAGCCTTTCTCCAAGAAATAATTGGAAGAGCAAAAAAAAAAAGTAAGAATGGAAACAAAAGAATCGTTCCTGTTTTACAGAGAACCTGAGGCGTTTTGTCAAGTAGCAGGAACACCTACGCCCGTAGAGCTCACTGACCCCCGTGAGACTTATTCTCAAGCAAACTGCCATAAGATTACATAGTGTTTAACACACCATTGTATTACATTGTATTGTATTCGAGAAGCGCGCCAACACATTAACTTTAATTTGATTGGTTGCCTCGAAGAACGTGCCTCCAATCAGAATGAAGAAGTGGAGACAATGCGTCCCTCTCTGCGTCCTGGTTGGAAAGCGCTCTGTGTCAGGGAGGGCTGCGTCTAAGGAGAGAGTGATTCTTTTATTTTGGGAGAACGTGGCATGTCCGGTTGGGGCAAAGATGGAAACGGACTGAGGGAGGGTGGAGGGTGTTCACACCGGACCCTCTGTGGCTTTGGGGGCTAAACGGCTTCCGTAGAAAGCTTCAAATTGCCACTTTACCTTTTCACTAAAGGAGCGGCCGATGTTCCTGTTTCAGAGAGGATTTTAGAAACTTTATCGTTTTGATAAAGTCAACGGTTGGCAATTAAGACGAGGTTTCCACAAGGGGCTGATAAAGCCACTCAGTGGGCAGGTTACCTGTCTGGTTTCGGGAGGGGAGGATGCAGAAGTGGGCAACGAAGGATTTCGGTGCAAGACCTCTGGATTTCTCAAGCCGCCCAAAAGCGGAATGGAATCCACCAAATGCTAGTGGCGACCCGATTTTCTTGTCCTAAGTAAAACTAGCTAATCAAATCGCATCTGGATCGAGTCCATTAGAAAATTTCTGCATGATCAATTAGGATACACGCATGAATTTATATCCCAGAAATTAATCCGTGAAAACAGTCTTTTGACGATAATATGGATGGCCCTAAAAAGGGCCTTTTAGAAGCGATCTTATTAACCTCCAAAACCATAGAGGGTCCGGCCTTGGCGTTTCAGCGCGTACACCACATCCATGGCCGTCACGGTCTTCCTCTTGGCATGCTCTGTGTACGTGACCGCGTCGCGGATCACATTCTCCAGGAACACCTTCAGCACTCCCCGCGTCTCCTCGTAGATCAAGCCCGAGATGCGCTTCACGCCGCCCCGCCGAGCCAGGCGCCGGATGGCCGGCTTGGTGATGCCCTGGATGTTGTCTCGCAGCACTTTCCGGTGGCGCTTGGCACCGCCTTTCCCTAAGCCTTTTCCTCCCTTGCCTCGACCAGACATCTCGGAAGTTAAATGAGACAAAAACTGTATGCAAGAAAGTGCCAAAGGCTTGCTGTCTATATAGCCTGAAATCGGACCGGAGTGAAGACTGAAATCAAGGGGCGGAGATGGAAAAAGTTTCCGTTTGCCCTTTGCCGCTTTCAAATCGCCGCCTTCCGAGTTTGAGCCAATAAAATTAAAACTCTCTTCACAAAGCGCGCGCAACCATATTTTCTTAATACCAAGCAGCTTAATACTGAAATCCCTCCACATTTTAAAAATGCTTCCTTTATTTACGTTATTTTACTGTATTCTCGTTTCCCGACCCAGTTTCTTTACTGTAATCAGTTCATTGTATTCTTCAAAACCTATGGGCTGCACGAAAAGGTGTTGTTCCTTAAATGACATGTTTGTATTTAATTCTGCCTTTACTGCAAAGTGAGGAATCGCGTTACAAGAGTGTGCATTTTGTACCGCCAAGTCGGAAGCGATTTAGAGCGACCCTAACAGGGATTTCAAGGTACGTGAGATATTCCAGGAACGGCTTCACGGGTTCCCTTTTCAGTCTACGTCTTTTCATATACAGTACGTATCGCATTGGGCCCTTACTCCCTTATTATCCACCCTGGCTTTAAAAATGTATGCATGGCAGATAGAAAAGATTCTGGATGTATGAATATGGATCAGTAAACTGAGCACAAGAGTGAGAGTTTGCTAATGTGGTTTCATTTTTTTTCTCCCCCCAAACAGTCTAGTGTTTAAACATGAGGATAAATCGCCTTGGCGATCGTCCTGCCGACTAGGTGGAAAACTGGGCGTAATAAACCGCTGGTTTCTCTGCTTTTCGCTCTTTCCTTTGATAGACTTGAGCTCGCTTTTCCATTGGTTGAAGGGGAATGATCTGCTCAGCCAATCGCAAGCCACTCCTGCAATCCCGAAGGTCTGTATAAATGGACTGCGTGCCATTTCTCGTCTTCACTCCCTTTTTTTCTCTCTCTCTTGGAGCTCCTCTGTAGCGTCGGATCCTAGGATGTCTGGCCGTGGCAAGCAAGGCGGAAAGGCTCGAGCCAAGGCGAAGACGCGCTCTTCGCGGGCCGGCCTGCAGTTCCCTGTCGGCCGGGTGCACCGCCTGCTGCGCAAAGGGAACTACGCCGAGAGGGTCGGGGCAGGCGCTCCGGTCTACCTGGCGGCTGTGCTGGAATACCTGACGGCCGAGATCTTGGAGCTGGCCGGCAACGCGGCCAGAGACAACAAGAAGACGCGCATCATCCCGCGCCACCTCCAGCTCGCCATTCGCAACGACGAGGAGCTGAACAAGCTGCTCGGCAAAGTAACCATCGCTCAGGGCGGCGTGTTGCCCAACATCCAGGCGGTTTTGCTGCCGAAGAAAACCGAGAGCCACAAGCCCAAAGCCAAGTAGGCTGGCTTTCCCAACCCGTCTGTGAAACACAAAAGGCTCTTTTAAGAGCCACCCACGGTCTCAAAGGAGGAGCTGAGAAACGCTGCTTTGTTACGGCATGGCCGGTAGAGCAGAACAAGGGGAAAAATGAATGTATACGGGTAACCCAATAATTTTATCAATATAGAAAGCCCGTGTATCGCTCGAAGTAAGAGCACAACAGTATTAAGCGCATAGAGGAACAACTGGAGGTTGTTCAATCAATGCAGTACCAAAAAGTATTAAGACAGGAATGAGGAGTCCCATGGCTGTCCAGATATTGCTGGACTTCAGCTGTCATTGCTTATGGCTAACTAGACTGACTAAAGCTGACATAGGAGCGCCAGTTCAACATCTGGATGGCTGAAAATCTACGTTCTTGGAGCATAATAAAAGTTGACGAATCCCATCAGTTTTTACTTGGAAGCTAAACCTGTTAAGTTTTTTTGAGGGGGAGGGTTCAATTCAATGTTTCACTAGGATTGGTCAACTTTTATCTGGGTGCTTCCCGCCCAAAGGACAGGACAGCTGGCCACCTACCCCGCTGTGGAAAGAGCAGAGATATGGAAAGCTACTTTTTGAGTCTCCTCGCAGAATCCTCCAGGCACCGAAAAGTAACGCTCCCAATCGGGGAAAGACAGGCATTCTGGAGACTTTGGGGCTGTACTTTTCGTGTCCTGAAAAACAATGGAGGAAAATGCAGGATGTTTATCGTCCCCTAGCCGAGTGATTGGTGACGGATAATGCGAAATGCAGTCCAGCAAGGTCTGGAGAACCACACGTTGCCTGCCCGCCTTCTAAAGACAGAAAGTATTTTCTATTTCAAATCCTCTATCCCTGGGAGCATATGTCGCAGCTGTAGTTGGGACACCTAAAGTTTGCCCCGCAGAGTCCGTCCTTTTATATCGGGTGTTGAAAGTAAACCTGAAGCGAAGGACAGTCCTGCAGTGTAGTCCTGCATCAGTAGCGCAAGTATTTCTCATACTTTCCGGGTGCACGCTTGAGGCTCAGGATCATGATGAACCAATAGATCCCGAACATCTGATGCCCGGTAGCCGCTGTGCCTTGTCCACCATCAGCCTGAAAAGAGAAACGTGGCAATAGGACATCCATTTTCCGCCTCTCTTCTCTGTCGTCTGTTCTCTCTCCCCCCCTCCCGTCTTTCCCAGCTGCTTTTTTTTTCTTCCTTGAAGTCTCCCTCTCTTCCACCCCATCCCCAGTTGGGAAAACAGTTTTTGGGCCAATTTTCATCACAGTATAAAAGGATTTACTCATTCCCTCTCTCAGCACTTCTGTAATCAGCCTCCCAGCGCGCTGCCCATTGGTGCTGCGCATCGCACAGCTGAGTCTCAAAAAAAGGGGGGAGAAAAATAACCTTTCGCGCCAAACCGGCAACCGGCAAAGCAGCGACTTTTCTCGTCTCGATGCCGTCGTTGGGAGATGGGAGGACCCTGAAATATCTGTCCAATCGCTAGCAAGCCCGGGAATTTAAAATCTCCCAGCCAATCGGCTCCGGGCGAGTTGGGTATAAATGATCCGCGATCGGGCCCCTCGGATTTATTCCCTGCAAGATCTAGAGTGGAGGTGGTGATTGCTTTTCTTTGAAGAGGAAGATGGCTCGTACTAAGCAAACGGCTCGAAAATCGACTGGCGGGAAAGCGCCCCGCAAGCAGCTGGCCACTAAGGCGGCTCGGAAAAGCGCTCCTGCCACCGGTGGCGTGAAGAAACCTCACCGCTACCGCCCTGGCACGGTAGCTCTGCGGGAGATCCGCCGGTACCAAAAGTCCACGGAGCTGCTGATCCGGAAGCTCCCTTTCCAGCGACTGGTGCGGGAGATCGCGCAAGACTTTAAGACCGACCTCCGTTTCCAGAGCTCGGCTGTGATGGCTCTGCAGGAGGCCAGCGAGGCTTACCTGGTGGGGCTGTTCGAGGACACCAACCTGTGCGCGATCCACGCCAAGAGAGTCACCATCATGCCCAAGGACATCCAGCTGGCGCGCCGCATCCGCGGAGAGCGGGCTTAAAAGACGCTGGGTATTGGCCTGGCTCCCTTCTCTTGCCAATGTACAACGGCTCTTTTTAGAGCCACCACAGGCTCAAAAAAAAGGCTGGGATTCACTTTTAAGGTACCTTGCATGTTTACGGCAGCGTCCTTAAATGTGCTATAGACAAGTTTTCTTTAAAAAAACACCTACCTTCCATGCTAAAGCTCTCCTTGTCCGCCCCATCCCACCAGCTTGTGGTTGGGATACGCAGCCGTAAAAATCAGCATGGTTTAAGGTGGAAGCACTGCCTAACAAAGCTTTTAAGGTAAGGAGTGAGTTTCCATGGCTGAGCAGGGATTCGAACCCTGAACACCAGAGTCCCAGTTCATCATTATCCACAACGCCTCGCTGGGAATAAGTTTGGAGTGGAATGCTAGTTACAAAAGCTTTACGTTACAAAAGCTTTACGTTGTAGCCTTGGCAAGCTGCACGGTTCCAGAGTACCCCCCCCAGAAGTGGGGAAATGATAAACCATCTCTTGAGTGTTCCCCATATTTCATTGCGCTCATTCATACAAAACCCTGACTTGGACCACTATTTTATAGTGACACAGCCCTCGTGTTACAAAGTTGTGGCCCTAAAGCCTTTTCCTCCTTTGCCCGGGCCAGACATGATCTCACTACCTCTCAAACTACACTTTTTTTTAAAAAAATGACCTGTTTCGTTGTTTGCTTAAGCAGTTTAAGGTAGTGCATTTCCGACCAGAGGGGAAACTGCAAGTGCAAGCATGGGCTCCACCCTCCAATTCAGGTTGAGAAATCAATGGTCCAATCAAATTGAAACTCGGGGTTTGGGGCATCGAAAGCCTCTCCAGCCTTCAAAAAGCCCCCTTATCCAATACAGTACAGTACTCAAGTACTGTATTAGGAAATTCACAGACTAATCCAGAAAGTTGACAATTTATTTTCCTTCGTTTTATAGAATACCAATACTTGCTCTCCACTTGTGGTTACAAACTGAAAGCTGTTTGTGGTTTGGTTTCGACATATTAAAACCATCTCTTCGTTTTTGTCCTTGTTAAAGCACCAAAACAGGTCAGCTACAAATTTAAGGGTGCTTTCAACCCATTGATGTAAACACATTTAAATTAGTTTGATTCTGCCTCTGATTATGGTTCTGTTCGCATTTCCCAATCCAGTATAATTTGATTAACAGGGTCATAGTGCACTATGCAATAAATCTGCAAAGAACTTTTTTACTAAGAAGTCTAAGCTTCCAAAGGTTGCACTGAGGTATTTGTCTGAACTACAAGTGTGTGGTATATTATATGGAAAGTATAATTTCTTTGAATTGATTGGACAGGGCAGCTCACTCCTACAGGGTTTGCTGAAACTCAGCAGCCACTAGTCCTCTCGATTCATTAATGTTTTGTTCCCAATGCCCAAGTCCACTTAAAAGTACAACCCTGGCCAAAGCATTTTGAAAGTTGCTTTGTCTTCTTCCTCCTTTTGTCATAGTTGAACACATTCTGAGGCTAACTTTCAATCAGTAGCTCAAGGACTTCATTTTTAGATATTCACTGCACTCAGCAATGATGCGGATTTTACACCTCTTGAGTACAGTATTTGGGGAGTATTTGCAAAGCTTACATCTCAGTTGTTTTCCTCTGGCCACGATATGAGGTGAGGAGAAACCTCCAGAAGCCTAGGACTGCTGGATAGCTCAGTGGTTTAGGTAGCCAGAGGCTGAGAGTATGACTGGGCCTTCTTGACAGGGGCTGGACTTGATGATGGCATGGGGTCCCTTCCGGCTCTGCAGATCTAAGGTCTAACTGGTTGAGTATGATTCCCCCACTGGGCCTTCTTGACAGGGGCTGGACTTGATGATGGCATGGGGTCCCTTCCGGCTCTGCAGATCTAAGGTCTAATAGGTAAACAAAATCCCAATCCTATTACAGAAGCTACTACAATGGCACAGATCCATTTGGAGCTCATACTCTCTTCTTACTATAAAGTTCACAGTAGATTTTAAAGAAATATTTTGTGCTTTGCTCCTTGCAGGTTGTATATCTAGCAGAGCTTTGCCTCTAGCCACGGTGACATGTATGAATAGCAATATGAAACAAGAGTGCTTTGCCGTTCATCATCCTTGTCAGCAGCCAGCTTGTACAGCCTCTGCTATAAAGTACACCATCACAAGCACCCAAGTAAGCGAAGAGCAGTCGTTTTCCTTTCACTCAGCATAACGGTCTTCAGTTCTCATTGTCACCACCATGAATTCTGGGGTTTGAAATAGCACCACGATATACAGCTTCAGCAACATTCAGAGGCTTTTTAAAAAATCATTTCCCTTAATTGGGGCAGGCGAGATGTTTACATATGGTCCAATCAAATTGACAGCACTTGTCCTTTTGGAGATTGGCCTTCCAAGAAATCTACTGGTCCAATGAGGAGCCAAGTAATTACTTCTACCCAATAAGAATGAGCCACACTATTTGCATCGACATCAGCGTCATGGGGTGGAGTCGATGCAGGTAACCAATCAAAGAGCTGGTCTGAACTGGTTCACAAGGTGGCTTGTTTCAACAGATGCTGAAAGGCCTTTTACAAGAATAAAAGCAAGGGGGGAGATCTTTAAGAGTAACTCACTTTTGTTGCCAGCAGTTTAGATATTAATGGCTGTGTGCTGTGTTATTTTGAGGGGACGGCACATTTACACTGTTACACAAGCTGTATACTCACTGTTTTACATTATAGCCAAGTGTCATTTCTTCAGTGTTGTCACATGAAAAGATATACTAAAATATTTATGAAATGTGAGGGGGTGTACTCACTTCTGTGATATACTGTATTTCAGTGTGCACTTTCAGAGGGATGAAAGGTGCTACAAGCTTTTACCACTTCTGTCTCCCTTACACCTGCACATAACACTGCCTGTCTGGAGACCAAAGGGTGGTGGGTTTGGCTTTTAAGAAGCCAACGGGTCAGGATCTGTTCTTGCTTTGTAGGGAGTCCATCGACTTCACAAAGAGAGTGACTAGTATGTAAAACCTGAGCAGACCTGTTAATGCGAGAGCATTTTGAAGGCCAAGAGTGTGCGTTAGGATCAGGTGATGGTGTCATGGATTCACGATTGCAAGCACATCACAACCACAGAAGAGTGACTAGTGGCGAAGGCTGTGTGGGAGAGAAGGTGTGCCCATTTCTAAAGAAAGGTATGGAGGAAAGTTATTCTGCCTACCCAATGCGGGCCATCATCATGACTATACTGACTTCGGATGCAGGAGCTCTCAATGAGGTTGTGAAGTAGATGGCATATCGTGAATTAGAACTCTTCTACACAGTAGAAGTGAAGAACAGATTTAAGGAACTAGATTTGGTGGACAGAGTGCCTGAAGAACTTTGGATAGAGGCTCGTAACATTGTACAGGAGGCAGCAACAAAAACCATCCCAAAGAAAAGGAAATGCAAGAAAGCAAAGTGGCTGTCCAACGAGGCCTTACAAATAGCAGAAAAGAGAAGGGAAACAAAATGCAGGGGAGATAGGGAAAGTTACAGAAAATTGAATGCAGACTTCCAAAGAATAGCAAGGAGAGACAAGAGGGCCTTCTTAAATGAACAATGCAAAGAAATAGAGGAAAATAACAGAAAAGGAAAAACCAGAGATCTGTTCAGGAAAATTGGAGATATTAGAGGAAAATTTTGTGCAAAGATGGACATGATAAAAGACAAAAATGGAAGGGACCTCACAGAAGCAGAAGACATCAAGAAGAGGTGGCAAGAATACACAGAGGAATTATATCAGAAAGTTTTGGATATCCCGGACAACCCAGACAATATAGTTGCTGACCTAGAGCCAGACATCCTGGAGAGTGAGGTCAAGTGGGCCTTAGAAAGCCTGGCTAACAACAAGGCCAGTGGAGGTGATGGAATTCCAGTTGAACTATTTAAAATCTTAAAGGATGATGCTGTTAAGGTGCTACATTCAATATACCAACAAGTTTGGAAAACTCAACAGTGGCCAGAGGACTGGAAAAGATCAGTCTACATCCCAATACCAAAGAAGGGCAGTGCCAAAGAATGCTCCAACTACCGGACAATTGCACTCATCTCACACGCCAGCAAGGTATCTTAGTAATTTTTTTGATTTCTAATCAGTAATACAGTATAGAGCTAGGAGACGTTACTATGTTGAACTACAACTCCTCCCCCCCCCCCCGTGATTGGGAGGAGTTGTCATAAGAGAGAAAGAGAGCAGAATTTTTCCCATGCCTGGCTGCAATGCCTCGCATGAAAGATCAGCCTGGCCCTATTTCTTCACAGAACATGGGACATCCTCTTTAGAAGGTTATTTCTTGCACATCAGAAAGGAGAAAGCTTTGACCATCTGGATTTTGGATTACAGTTCTTATAATCCCTCACCACTGGCTTCTGGTCATTGAAGGCCAAACTGCACGGGGAGCCAGACCTGCTATACCTAAAGCAATATAGGAGATTTCCGATGGGCTGCCATTCTTGTGCTACTAACCAGGTTTGTAAAGAGCTCCCTGGAAAGCCACAGCACCCTCCCCACCACCCCGCAGCTGCTTTTTATAGAAACATGTGAGGCCAGAAGTAACCAAACCAGGACGAGTACAGGGCAAGAGAAGGGAAAGAGAGAGAGCACTTTCAAAAGTGCAACACTGGCGCCATTTATAATAACAGAAATCCTTTGCAACAACAACTCCCTTGGTTAGCAGTCTGTTTTCCAGATGCGATTACTGCTTACAGCCTATCAAGCCCCTAAATGGTTTAGGACCTTGATATCCGGCAGAGCGCCTCCCCCCCCCAAGTTCTGCCAGAGTCACTCGTTCCAGCCAGGCTGGCCAGCTGAGGGGCCTAAGGCCGAGGGAGGTCCGGAAGGAAAGAACGAGGAACCGGGCCTTCTCGGCAGTGGCCCCTCGCCTCTGGACCAACTTGCCTGTGGAGATCCGCCTGGCTCCCTCTCTGGGTGTATTCAGAAGAAAAGTCAAGACCTGGCTATTTAGGCAGGCTTTCCCTCCTGCCGTATCTTAAATTTACATTTTGCCATCTTGGATTTATAGTACTGTATATATGTATTGTTTTTTAACTATTTTTGAATTTGTAATGCCACCCAGAGTAGACCTTTGGTCTAGATGGGTGGGGTAGAAGTCCAATAATGAAGCAAACTGCTGTGGAGCCTTCCGTCAGCACATGTTTTAGAGGTGTGGGGAGGAGATCAGTCGAGTGTTGGTGTGCCAGATGGCCAGTCCTGCACTTAAGCCAGCTTCTTGCCTAGAATGGACTGGACAAGGATGTTGTCATTGGCAATGCTGAAGACTCACCTGCCAGTCTTGTTGGCATTGAGGAAGGGGCCTGAGGCAGCAAATCTGACGCCTGAGGCAGCGAACTGTCAAGGGGTGGTGCTAACAACTGCACTATGCTGCTTTTTTTTTTTAAAGCAGTTTATGCCATCTTAATCAATAACCCGTGAACTGAGCTGATAACGTTCCTGTTGTAACAAACCAAAAAAAAAAAAATCCTCACACCTCCAATCTATTGCAGAAATACAGGTTTTATTATGATTCTTCTCAACATTTGTTTATGGCCTAACAATGCATTCTTTCTCTTCGGTTTCCTCGTCGCTGTAGTCATCATCATCAAATAATGTTGGCTTACATTTGCATTTCCCAGAGTCATTAACCCGCGAGAATGAGTAATAGATGCCACCACATCTTGGGGAGGGCGCACGGAAAATCATGTCAGGTATGCTGTTAGGCTGCATGGGCCCTGAACGTCCTTCCTTCAAGATCCAAAAGAAAGAATAGAGGGCTAGACCCCCTAGGATGAAGGACGTGAGGAACCCCCCGATGACGCCGGCAGCCACTGGAGTGAACCACTCGAAGAGGCCCCTGCCATAGGGCGGCAGTGGCTTCTTCTCTGTGATGGGCTCAAGCTCATCCCAGTCTCCAGACTTGATCTTGGATTTGAAGTCTCCTCCCTCTCGCCGCAGCCGGCCCTGGCGGCTTCTCTCCTCCTTCCCGCTCATATCCATCTCATTCTCCTCCAGGAGGAGCGAGGAGGTCAGGTGCTTGACTGTCTTATGGTACCCCTCTACGTTCTTCTTCATCTCCAAGTTCTTGTCCTGATTGAGGTTCTTGCCCAACTCGACGGAGACGTCAGGGCGCCCGATGGCTTGGAGGGATCGCGACAGGCGGTCCCAGTACATGGTGTCCCCCTCGGCCTGCAGCCAGTGGGTCAAAGTCTCCTTGCATTGCTCCACGCTGATGATGTCTCGGCGCCTGCGGGCCCGAATGGGATTCCTTTTCTCTGAAAGCCGATCAAGCTCTTCTCTCACGTTCTCCTCGGGCCCGAGGAGTTTGGCATAGAAAGCCTGGCATTCCTCTGGGGAGAGCAGCTCGGAGATGCGGCCCATCATGTGACTGCTAATGTCATCAGCCACGGTGTCGTCACCCCTGGCTGTTGCCACCAGGAACACAAAGACTATCCTACCTAGAGGCAGCATTGTGAAGACTCTGGAAGCCTGACCTGCGAGAGAAAAGAGTTTTCTAGAAACGGGACGGAACCAGAAGCAGATCCCCCCCTAGGAAGGTGGCTTTATAATGGGATGCCCTCATCCCTTCCCCTTGTTCCCTACAGGATTCTCACTCCCTGGGCGGCGGGGGCGGGGGTTTGTGTGTTAACTTTGGCTCTAACCCTGCTTCAGTAATAAGGGTTTTTTCCCAATATATTTAAAGTTATAATAAGGGAAAGAGTGTGTCTGGGCCTAACCAGGGTATCCTTCTTTTGTTACTAAGAGTCAAACAAGATTAGTGGTTCCCAAATAAATTCTCCCCATTCCTTGGAAAAGAAACAAACAAAAAAAAACTCCCAACGTTAATGACAAATACAGGGCATTACCTGAGTAGACGCTCCAGGAAAGTTCTCTACATCTTATCTTGGTACAGCATGGAACCTTTTCTGTGGAACTGAAGTTCTCCGTCAGTATCTGATGTCACAAAGGGAGGGAGGGAGGGAGGGAGTCAAGGTGGAGCTGCCAGATGCATACTGGAAGAAGCCCAGCAGTCTGAGAGGAAACCTCACTGGCTGGGCTTCTAATCAACTCCTGACAGGCAAAAAGACAGCAAGCGAAGCTTTCCCATTGCCTTCCACGTCAGGAAGAACTTCACTTACTAACTTCCTTCAGGAAGAGCAGGAGTAGTTTAGAAATAAAGCGCCAGCTTGGGTTCTTGGCATTTCCAGGTAAGGAAGGCTCCCATCTGAGATCCCGGAGAGTAGCTGCCAGTGTGTAGGTAACACTGAGTAAGACAGCCTAGTGGTCTGATCTGGGAGAGTGGCACTTGTTGTCTTCCTAAAGGTCAATCTGGTGCTCCCGGCACAAAACCTGACAGAGAGTCACTGACTGCTTTCTTACATCTTGTCATTTTGTATTGACCAGCAGGTGGCAGCACCAGCCCATCATTTGTCTTTTTAAGACAATTCATTTCCTGAAGGAACTGCAGAAAAAACGTTCCCATTCAGGAATGGCCATGGGCTTTCCCATAATCCCCCCCCCCGAGTTAGTGTTGCAGCTGCTCATCCATGCATGGTGGCGTCTCCCGTCATTGTGAGGCTGTTCAGGTATTTCGTCCTCGTTGCAGATTTGAATAGCTCATCCTGGTATTTGGATGCAGTGGCACTGCTTGGATGTCTCACTCCCAACACAGAGCGTCTTTTCCTTTTCTCTCCTTTCCCTGCTTGTTTTGCCAACCCCCAAATTGTAAAGGAGTAGAGTTTAACCAGCAGAAAAATGCCCCTTACAAAACATAATAATTGTTGTTTAGTTGTTGTGTCCAACTCTTCGTGACCCCATGGACCACAGCACGGCAGGCCCTCCTGTCGTCCACTGCCTCCCGGAGTTGGGTCAAATTCATCTTGGTAGCTTTGATGACACTGTCCAACCATCTCGTCCTCTGTTGTCCCCTTCTCCTCTTGCCTTCATACTTTCCCAACATCAGGGCCTTTTCCAGGGAGTCTTCTCTTCTCATGAGAAGGCCAAAGTATTGGAGCCTCAGCTTCAGGATCTCTCCTTCCAGTGAGCACTCGGGGTTGATTTCCTTCAGAATGGATAGATTTGTTCTCCTTGCAGTCCAGGGGACTCTCAAGAGGCTCCTCCAGCACCACAATTCAAAAGCATCAATTCTTTGGCGGTCAGCCTTCTTTATGGTCCAGCTCTCACTTCCATACATCACTGCTGGAAAAACCATAGCTTTGACTATGTGGATCTTTGTCGGCAAGGGGATGTCTCTGCTTTTTAAGATGCTGTCTAGGTTTGTCATCGCTTTCCTCCCAAGAAGCAGGCGTCTTTTAATTTTGTGGCTGCTGTCACCATCTGCAGTGATCATGGAGCCTCCATATCTTCCCCTTCGATTTCCCAGGAGGTGATGGGACCAATGGCCATGATCTTAGTTTTTTTAATGTTGAGCTTCAGACTGTTGTTTTGTGCTCTCCTCTTTCACCCTCATTAAGAGGGTGAAATAATACACGCCTGTAAAGTGTGCTCCACTCCTGCTCCTTCATACGCCAAATTGAGAGAACAAGCGTAGGTGGATGTAATGCCAAACAAACTGATGAAGTGATGCAGCAATAAAATTTTAAGAAAAAAAATTAAAAAATTAAAGGAAAAAAATGGTGGGGCCCCTGCCACTCAAAAGCTACATGGGCACCAATTAAAATGACAGCAGTTTTTGCATCCACAGAACCACATTGAATTGAATTGATTTTAGAAGCGAAGTATTTTAAAAAGTCCTTTGCAGCCTTTATAAATCCATTTCACCCTTGCATCATGTGAATGATAAAAATCTAAATAGATTTAAACGATACTTCCATGTTATTTGCCAGTGTGACTGCAGCCACCGTTGATGCTAGTTTCAGCCCTGCATTGTGTACCATATAAGGGGCTGTACCATATCATGGGTAGAATGGAAGTTAAACAATTGTGCTCCTTATATACCAACCCATATCTCTTAAAGCAGTGGTCCCCAACCTTGGGCTTCCAGATCTTCTTGGACTACAACTCCCAGAAGCCTTCACCACCATCTCTGCCGGCCAAGATTTCTCGGAGTTGAAGTCCAAGAAGATCTGGTTGGGGATCACTGTCTTAAAGCATTCTCTGAGCAGTGTACAATTTTAGTTATGCAGGCTGCACATTCCCCCATCCCCAACAAGCTGGGTACTCATTTTACCAACCTTGGAATGATGGAAGGCTCAGTCAACCTTGAGCCAGCTACCTGAATCCATCAGGATCAAATTTGAGCCCTCAAGGAGAGTCTTGACTGCAGTACTGAAGTTTAACTACTGCACCAAATGCTCAGTGTAGACAGACTCAGCTTGCTCAAAGACTCTTGCATGTCTTTGCTGGAATGGGGAATGAAACAGAAAGAAGCACCTTCTCTGGTTTTCCGGATTACTCCTTACCTGCTCTGACCTTTGCTGACCTTCCTTCAACCTAGACTGATCTTCTTAGGGCTGCTGATGTTCACCTCCTTTCCTGCTCACATGTTCTCTCTTGACCTTTTTTTTAAAAAACCATTATATTCATATCTAAACATACAAACTTGAAAACATTAACAATCTAACAGATAATTAACAAAACTAACAGACAAAAAAAAACCCCCACAGCTAAACAGCCATCCTTCCCCTATGGATCAGAGACTTCATCATTGTCTGGTCATTGGCATATCTTCAAGGGGATTCCGGTGAGCACTGGTTCACTATTAATTAATTTTCCCTAAGTTCCTTTCTTTTGCTGGGCTCAATTATGTACAGTATCAGCTTCCAGCTTTCCTTTACAAGTCTCTTGGTTGATCCCACAGTGCCTCTGAAAGCACGTCTAGTTCTGCAATGTCCAATAGCTTCTTTAATACAGTAACTCATCCATCGTTGGTATCTCTACTACAGTCTTCCTTTTTTGGGCTCGGAGTAACCTAGCTGCTGTGAATATATATGGTATACTATACAGTGGTGCCTCGCTTAGCGATTGCTTCGTTTAACGATGAAATCACTTAGCGATGACTTTTTCGGAGCGATCTTGCGCTCCGTTTAACGATGGTTCCTATGGGCGATTTTCGCATAGCGATGTTTAGGACCATGCTTCGCATAGCGATGACAGTTTGGGCCGCCCTGTTTCACTTAACGATGGTTTTGACAGCCTCATTTTGGCTGTTTTTTAAATGTTTTAAAATGTTTTAAAATGTTTAGAATGCTTGAAATCATAAGTGCACTTAATAAAACCTTTGTTAAACTATTTTGACTTTGTTCCGACTCTTTTTAAATTTGTTGTAATTTTTTTCCCCATTGAGATGCATTGAATAGGTTTCAATGCATTTCAATTGGGGAACTGCGTTTCGCTTAGCGATGTTTCCTATGGCGATTTTCGCTTAAGGACGGCAATCCGTTCCCATTGGAACGGATTATCCGGTTTTCAATGCATTTCTATGGGAAACCGTGTTTCACTTCGCGATGAAATCGCTTAACAGCGATTTTTTTGGAACCAATTATCATTGTTAAGCGAGGCACCACTGTATTTTATTTTCTTGTCAATAATTTTTTGGCATTATATTCAATAATAACATTTCAGGTTTAAAACTTAATTTTTGTTGAACAATCTCTTTTACCATTTCCCAAACCTGTATCCTTCTTTTTTTTTGTTTTGTTTTGTTTTGTTTTGTTTTTTTGCTTTTTCACATGACCACCACATATGATAAGTCCCTGGATTATATATTTTTTTTTACACTTCCAACAAACATTACTGTTACCTTCTGACAGTTTTGCCAAACTTACAGGGGTAAAATGCCATCTATGAAACATTTTAAGGATGTTTTCCCTAAGATTCACTGGCTTAATCATTTTATGATTCTCTTTTCACATCTTTGTCCATTCATCAATATCAATATTGTACCCAAAAGTTTGTGCCCATTTTTCCATCACCTCCTTCACCCTCTCATCCTCTAAGTCGTATCCCAGTAAATATGTATACATTTTTAAAATTATTTTCTCATTAGTGTAAATCCATAATTCATCCACCTGGACTTTCCCCTCAAAAAAGCCCATAGTTTTGTCCTTTTTATATCCCGATTCTCACTAATTCTTCCAAACGGTCCAGAGGGTTTTCTAGTATTATTGCTTCCATCAGCATATGCTTCCAGCTTAAATTCTTCTCCCCTGATTCTGAGACCCTTAATTCCAGCATTCCCTCTTGTTTGTCTATTTAGAATCTCTAATGCTAAAATAAATAATAATGGAGAAAGTGGAAACCCTGCCTTGTGCCTTGTTCAATTTGAATATTTTCAGTTACTTGACCATTAATTTTAATCTTGGCCTTCTGTTTAGTGTATATTGCTTTAATTGTTTGTAGAAAAATTCCTTCTGCTCCCATCTTCTTTAATTGCAGCAACATAAACTCCCAATCGACATTATCGAAGGCCTTTTCTGCATCTAAAAAGATTAACATCATTTGCTTTTCTGGATGCATTTCATAATATTCCAAAATGTTTATTATTGATCTTATATTTGATGATAGTTTCCTTTTTGGGATGAAACCTGTTTGATCTTTGTGTATCATTTCCTCAAGCACCTCCTTCAGCCTTGTTGCCCAGATGGTCACATATATCTTGACCTTTTTCTTTTTTGGGGGGGAGAGGGTGAGACAGCTATGGCTTCCTGTGTCTCTGCCTTTGTTAGCTAGAAGTAGGATTCTTATTATCTTTCCTGCCTCAATTTATTTTTTCTAAAAACATTATTTTTTATTTGCTTAGAATAAGATGGGGTTTTGTTTTGTTTTGTTTTTTGCTTTTATAATCATGATTTCATTCTTAGAGGGGAAGAGTGCTCTGCTAACCATTTTGATTTTCAGTGAATGAATCCACACATCCAGCCCGGTGCTGCATTCTTCTCTACTCCTCTTAGCAATGAAACCCATTGGCTGAAATCCTGTTGTGTAGTGTAGTGCACAAGAGTAGGCTGACCGAATCAGTGGATATATGGTGAATCAATTCCTCTTGAATCAATGAACTCAATATATTCCATTGATTCAAATAGGCCTACACTAATTGCAACTTATTTTAGTGTAATAAGTCACAACCAGAGCTGGCCCATTTGAATCAGTGTAACTAACAGAGGAGCTGGCTCACCAAATTTTTACTAGTTCAGTGAGACTGCTCTGGTTGTGACTTACTACAGTAAGCAAAAAGATTTCAACCACT